TTCTATCAACCAAGACCCACATGTTCTTGTAAGTATACTTACATTTATATATGTATAACTATAAGTATATATACATGTTGTATTAAAAATGAGCATTATCAAAGCTAAAACAGTAAAATTTTATAATTTATTGTAAATACCACAAAGTTTAAATAAATTTTTAGAATATTTTATACTGACAAGACGCAATTTCTGTTTTATTAATAATAATAAAAAAAAAACATTAAAATTCAAGAAGAACATGACATGTTTTAGTTATAAAAATTTAAGCTTTATTTGTATAACAATGTTGAAAATAAGTAATTTGAATTCTATATAAGTATTATACTTAACATTATTTAATTTTAATTCAAAAAAAATATTTGAATGATTTTGTAAAAAATTACAATTTCCTTCAAATGTTCACTTTATATAAGATCATATTTCGAATTGAGAATCGTATGAGTATTTGCAAATACCTAACTATTAATCGAATATAGTATACGTACATAAAATATTTATATATAAACTTAAAAACTTTCTTGAACTTGCTAAAACCATTAAAAAAAGATATATACTTAAAACTAATATTTTTTTATTCACTAAAATTGAAAGAAAAAACATTTCTTTAAAAAAAATATACAAAACAAGTTAAAAATCACAAAATGTACAAAATAAAATTAAAATTTTTTAAAATGAAAAAATCGTTATTCAGAAAAACTATAGGGTATTCAACATTAAACAAATTACGGAATTCAAACAGAATACACTAAATAATCCCGAGATCGGAATTGTAATAAAAGTACTGTGTTAATGCTGAATTCAGCTAATAAGTCGTAAATGCTGAATTGTGTATCGATACGGTATTACTAGAATTGCGATGTCCGGGTAAATAAGTCAAAGAAATTTTTTCTCTTGTACGTAAAACGTTTACGTAAACGGTTTTAATTAAATTTAATTTTAAAGCTTAAAATAACCTCATATATTTTAATTAAAACGAAACAGTAAAACTCAAATATTTAATAAAGTGAAGTTCGAAATAGGAAAATGTTAAGACACAATCAAATAATTTAGAGTCTTAGGCAATCAAAATTTGATTTTATTTTAAAAAAAAATTCAAATTAAAAGTAAATCAAAATTAAAGGTGTATTTAAGATTAAATTAAAGGTTGCATATTGGATTAAAACTAAGATTAAATATGAATCCGATGAAAAGCTGATCATCAGATTTTATCTTCGACTTCTTCTGATCTGCAAATGGAACCAAAGAGTAATGGAATACGTATAGAAACTCTTAATACATAGAATATTGTTATTTAAACCTATTTTTACAGTTAGTTCCTAAAAGATCGAGTAAAATCTTAATTTACAGTAAATTAAAAATTTTGTTTTTGAGATATAGTCAGTATAACAGGTGCCATAAAAGCTATTCTATTTTAATAGTGTTCACTATTTCGTTCTCTTTCAAAATTAAAAATAAATTCATCAAAATTGGTTTGGTTAGAATTTGGCGAAACTAATGTATAAAATATTGAAATCATTACTCGTATTAAAATAAATTAATTTTTTTTCAATATTTAAATTTATTAAGAAAAGAAAAACCGCACATATTCCAAACGAAAAAGACAACAATATTACAATTTCTTAAAATACAATACTTATATTTTAAACCAACTTATGTGTGTATGTATATATATATATATATACTATCTATATAGAAACTATAAATAAAATAGCAACAAAATCAAAGAAATAAAAATTTATTTTATTTTTAGTATTTTTCCAATTTTAACTCTTTTTATTTTTTCTTATTTTTCTTCTTATTTTATACTTCTTTTATAAACAAACAGATGAGAAAAATCACAAAATTAAAACCAAAAGAAAAAAAAATTAATTTTCCCAAAAAAAAAACAGGAGAAAAAAGCAAAATTAGAAAAATCGAGAACACACAAAATAAACAACAATTGGTTCAACAAATTCTATTTTTGGAAACTTCTCATGTTCTTCATCTCAAGAAAAATAAAGACAAAAAGAAAAATCAAAAAGATCACCATAATTTTTAATTTTTTTTTTTTTTGCTCTCAAACTCATACATATTTCTATATGTACATATAAATATATGTACTAAAATATTATTCATATTGAATACAAGTATAAGGGTTGCATGTGCATCTGGTGGCACATGCCACATTTTGATGCATATGTTGAAAAAATAGAAAATACAAAATTGAAAAACAGAATTAAAAGGAAGCAAAATGAACATGCATTTACACACCTTATCGTTGTCCCCCATTTTTAGATCTTCAAATGCACACAAATTACATTCAAACACATATGTATGTATGTAGTATGTGTATGTAATTAAAAAGTAACTTCTAGTTTTAATTCAGTTTTTCCATACAATTTTTATTTTCTTGTATCCTCTTTATACTTTCATATTTTTTTTAAACAATTAACACGCTTTATGAATGAAATTTTATAAAATGTAAACAATGAATTTTCATTTTTTTCTTAATTTTTCTTAATTTTTTTATATTTTTAGTTTAAAATAATCAATTGCTATGGAATATGATGAAAAAATAAATTACTTAATATATACACACGAGTCCTCTATGTTATACTGTTTGTTCCAATAGAATATATAATATGGAATCTTATACATCAGGCATTATAAAAATTAATGTTATACACTCAGTAATTGTATATTTATACACGTAAGTAAATGAACATAATATATTATGCATTTATGTATGTACGAACTAAAAAAACACATGATATATTGATATACGAGTAAATGTATAACAAATTATTGCAGAAAAAATATTTTAATTTTAGAAAAAGAATACGTCGACGACAATTATTAGAATACAAGTTTGTTTATAGCACGAATTTTAATTTTTTAATTAAATAGTTTTAAAAAAAAACTCTATTTTTATAATCTTAAAATGCATCTTAAAAATTGTGCATTAATAGAATATATATTATGGAATATATATATATATATATATATATATATATATATATATATAGAATGGCTAAATTAGTTACATTAAATGAATTTTTTAAAACAATAAACTGGAAAAATTTAGAATTTTAATCAAAATATTCGTGATTTCAAAAAAAGATAACAAAAGTAGTTACCACATAAATTCATGCCATCCTTGACTTCCAAAATGCTATAATACGGTATTAATACGCAATTCAGCTTATATGTGCGAATTGCTGAATTGTATATCAATTAGTACCCTCACTTTACTATTACAACAAATTCAGATTATGTTGTAAGTATAAATAAAAATTTTATTTACTTATCTTTTAGATTTTCATATTCGCTTATTCAAAAAAATGTTAAGTTTAAAATAGAGTAACCTATGAACTTGTTAAAGAGTTTTCGTCTATTTAAAATATAAGTATTTCGTCATTTTTCAAAAAATTTATAGATTAGTCAACTTCTTAAGTAATTATATTAATAATAACTTACAATGTACTTTAATATTAATAGGAAAATAAAAGTAGACTGTATGTTAACACAATTAAGTATAAATTTATTGCTATGATAATTAAATTAAATTAAAGAATAATTTAATTATAGAGATGAAATGTTTTATTATCATGATTATTATATTTACATAAAAAAAAACAGTGAAACCACCTTATAATGAACAAAGGTTCCAATATTCTATAAGCTCATTTTTTACAAATTATAGTAAATGATCATCAGGAAGTCATTAAAAAACAAAGATTCTGCTGTACATTCAATTTTCTTTTATTTTTCCCAAAACATAATTTAATTTATATGTCACTCATTTGCTGCAACAGTGGCATAATTCAAAAAAAAAAACCATTTTCGAGTTATCAATATAGAAATAGGCCCTTAATATATTTCATTTTCGTGCAAAAACGCGAATTCTCTAGTTTAAAAATTACCGCTTCAGTATAACAAATTATAAAAATAATGGTAACACCAGAAAAACAAACATATTAATTCAAAAACTTTAAAATTTTTTTAAGTTCTACTCAAACGAACGATATGTATACGCAATTTAATTTACTTATGTATAACTAGTTTTCTTGATTTTCTACAAATCACAATACCTTCTACTAAATATTTAAGAGTTATCGTATCATAATAATTGAAATAAATCAAGGGTGTGTTAAGCTAATTTGTACTAATTTTTATATTTTATAGTAAGTATTCTGTTATCTCGATAATATTACCAATCTTATGTAAATATAGATATGCAATTTTCAAGTTTATATGCTCACTCAAATTTTAAACTTCTCTGATAATCATATCACTATTAATATAAATTCTTATGTATTTTATAATTAAATACTAATAGTGAATTATTTATTATTTGCAATCAATTACTATTATTTGATAAGGTTTATGAAAAAATCATATGATTATATTTTATTTGCTATAAGAACAAGGTAAATTATTCTATCAGTACTCACATCATTAATTTTATGAAATATGTATATATACATAATACTTATTACGTAATACAAAATACATAATTATATTCGGTATGTACAGCATAACAAGGTAGTTTAGGGACTTCTATTTCAAAACAGTTTTTTTTCAAAGTAATTTAAATAAAAAATAATAAGACAATTTATTATAAATATCTGATAATAGCTCTAATTTTAATTTGTTATTAATTATAGAAATTCAACGAAATCACATTATTGACCCTAGACATTGGAACTTTAAAATTTCCAATGGCCAATAAATTGGATTTTGAGATTTTTTTCTTAACCACCATAAATAAGAACTGATGGTACTCATGAGAAACAAGATCAACTTTGGAAAAATCTATAAATGCAGGTTAAATCTGACAAAATAAATAACATTTGATTTTTCATTACTTATGAGTTGTCAAATATTGTTTAGAGTTAATATTTTAGTATAATTATGTAAATGCCTACAATTATAATGTAATAAGCTATACACGCAATATATATTATATAAAAGTTATCAAACTATTATATTTCATATAACATATAATAATTACTTACCATTTATAATATCATTAATGTAATTTTTTGTGATAATCCAATACAATTAATGTCAATTATATTCAGTTTATTCATTTATGTGCATTTTAGATATAAGTAGCTTAATATTGTACAAATTTTTTACCATTTATGCTATTACATAGCTAAGTATGTTCGTATAAAAATATTATTTTATAATTAAGTATATATCAAAATCATAACATCAACTGAATTGTTAAATAATAATTATTAAAAATTTTTCACCTTAAATGAGAATAATATATGTATATAGGTATTGATATGTATTTGGACACTGTATATATACATATTTAATCAAATTACCATTATAATTTTAATATTACTTATATTTTATTTAATTAATTAATTGTTTCAAAAATTTTTATTTTGTAAATAGGTATATGTATTTAATCCTGCAGTAGAGTTTATTATGAATTATTTTCTTAATTATTATTTTTAAAGAACTATTTTTGCACCAGAACTTGATTGATATCTATAATTAAAATAACAAAGAAGAATACAATATTAATAAGTCAAAATTATTAAATATATTAACATATTTTAAACTAATTCTGTTCATCAAATTTAAATAAAATATAACAGTTAAACTGCACAGCCAAGTTCATGTAATTTAATATTTCATATTTTCAATTGAAATTTTTTAACATTTTTTCATAATATGGAATTAGAATCGATTACAGTATATACTTAATTAAAATGCTATAAATATATACATATATTAAGTAGGTATAACATTTTTAATTAAGTATAACATTTTCCCAAACTTCAAAATTGCAGTAATATGTAATGTAAGTATACAATGTGCGGTACAATATTCTCATTATCTCAGATGATAAAGCATCTGAACTTGTAAATTACGCATAGTTTGTGAATTGAGTGTTGATATTGTACTAATATTACCGCAATTATTTGAAGTTAGGTTTAATAAATTATTAAAATATTTCTTTAAAATTATAAATATAATTTTATAATTGTTTAATACATATTAAAATTTAATTAAATATTTTATAAATTTATTTATTGAATAGGTTAATTTTAAAATAATATTAATATATATGTATTAATTGTATAGATGAGTACGGTACAACTTTTCTTGTACAATACTGTAATGCAGTCTTTTTACAAAATTTGAAAATTTTATACACACGTACCTATGTATGTATATAAGTGCCTATACTGATATTGTAAGTAAGTATAATTATATATGTATGGTTGTAGCTAAGTATATAATATAAACTACTTATATAAAATACATTGTATTTTAAGAAAACCACAGAGAAAATTATTTATTGTTATTGTAGATATTATATATATTTTTATTTACAAACAAATTTAATTTAAAATTTATACATATTTAAAATATATTAAAAATATATTTTAAAATATGTGTACACATGTGTATGCAACATACAACAAATTAAAAATGATAATCATAAAAACAAAAAATATTAAGATGAAAAACAATAAAAATAAATGAGAAAACAGAAAAATCAAAAAAAAAAAAAAATTCAATCCACTCTCTATGGCGCGTTTTATTTATTTTTTTTATTGTTATGGTATTATTTAATTTTTTTTTTTTTAACTTAAGATCCAATATCGTATATGTATGTATTTATGTAATTATACTTCATATAACATTAGTATATGTATATAAGATATAAACATATTTTATTCAAAAACATGAATATAAGCATAATCTGGCCAGAGCAGTCAATCATTTAAATCTTATTTATTGTGCCTACTTATTTACATAAGTGTGAACATATGTACATAGTATACGCGTAGCTACATTCACAAATACTTATGTATGTATATTCTATTTCAAATTTCATAAAATATTATCAAGATTTATTTATTATAATAAAAATGACTATCCAATCCAAATGACCCTCAATATTACGAATACTTTTTTAAAAATTAGTTTATATCGTAAATATTATGTAGAATTAAATTATGTTTTCTTATTACAACAACATGAAAAACACAAAGTAAACAACACTATACACATACTATATGTATATACATATACTATATAATGTACATTTTGTACGTATGTACAAATATATTTCTATTTTTTATAAGATTTCCTTAACATCAATTGTCTTCTTAAATGATATACTTGCAAAGCAAACATAAATATTTACTGCATTTCTTATAGCACAAATTATAATAATAATATCATATAATATTTTATTTTATTAACATGAATTATAACAATATATTAAAGTCAACTGTTATACATTGTATTTTATTATTATTATTTTTGGATTGATCTTTTATATACTTATTTGTGTTTTATAATAATGCAATAATATCATGAATATTTATTAAGATTATTATTGTTTGTAAACTACATAGGTATAATGCTTACAATACCTATGTAGTTTACAAATATTTCATATGCTTGTTTGTATATAACAATATCATAAACTACACCAATTATGTATTATAATTTTTTTAATATCGTATATGCCTACATAATATAGTATATAATTATAACAGTGTTTATATTCCTTTTGCCGATATTATTTAATATTATTTTTCTTTTTAATAAATTTCGTGCTGTGAATTTCATATTATTTAATTTTCTAATATTTTGTATATGCTTATTTCCAATGTTAGTTTTTCTTTTTTTATATTTATTATTATTTTTATATTATTTCTATAACAATTATTTATATTTTAAAATTCATTAAAATTTTTAACATTTTTTACCAAAAATAACAAAAATTAAATTTTTATTTTAAAATCTTTAAATTGTATTTTTACTACTTCGCTGAAATTCCTTATAAAATTATTTGAATACTTTGAATAAACATATAAACAGTGTAGTAGAGTGTGTAGTATATTTATATATACATATATATTTTTTTCTTTTTATTTTTCTTTATATACTAAATTTTTTTTAAGCGGTATTTCCTTATAACGATCTTAACTTTCTTACGATTAAAATAAGACTAAAAATAAAAATAAAAACAACGATCGTGTTTTTCTCTTTTATTTTGTTTTGTTGTATTTTTCCAGTTTATTCATATATCGTAAATGTAAAGATATAGATATAAATATACATAAATAACTTGAAATATATAATTTATGTAGATATATGTATTATAATATGTACATGTAACATGTTACTGATCCCAAGCAAAACTATTCCAAATTAATTAAAATATTTTTCACGGAGATGGTCTTCTTTGAAATGTTATACATACAAAACTCCATAAACTATGTTACACAAAACTGTAAATATTTAGTTGAAATCTGTACTCTACTTTTTGTATTTGGCTTATTCAAAAATTATTACTTTTGATTTATCTGCTTTTTATACATAATTTTTGTAAGGGAGTATATGCTATTTCAAGTTAGTAGATATACTTTGATTTCAAGTAATCCGACTTTTATTTGTAGCTTGTAATTTTTTCCAAAGTTTGTATGTTAACTTGTCTTGTTATAATAATAATCAAATATAGTTGAAAGCCGAAATATTTTAAGCATTTTCGTAACGATGAATTTTTTAACAAGTGTGGGGGCTATGTGAAAGTCTTGATTCTTAAAAATTTCTTTTAATTAGAGTTTGTGTTGAATTACCACCTGTAAAAAAATTCTAATTTTAGTTGGAATTTCTATTTAACTTTAAGTTTGGTATTCGTCATTGAAATGCTTACTTGTTTAAGTTGGATTCATTTGGTTTTGTATGAAAATTTGAATTTTTGACATTCTCTTTATTTTTAATACAGCATTTTTTCTCTCTCTCAAAAATTGAATCAACTTCTTGGTGATTCTCGGAATTTTTTTAAAACGTCAAATTTACGTATACTGAACTATTAAAAATTACATATAATTCTTGTTAAAAAAATATTTAATGCATCATAATAAAAAAAAACGATCAGCTTCTTTCAGACGAACCAATAAACAATCAAGAGAAAAAATAGTTTGACTACAAATAGGTCAGCTCAAAAATGACGAACCAATGAATCCAGCTTTAATGCTACTAAATTTGCTTCAATTATGCAATTGTTCAATAATTGAAAATGAAATGTTTCTTATTTGCAGAGATATCATACTTTAAAAGAAGACAAAAAAACTTCAAATTGATTTTCCGCCGAACTAAGCGTTTAGAGTTAGCATACTTTTGTATGGAACCATCGATATGTATACGTGTTTGTAAAACGAACATGCAATAAGTGTGCATAGGCATACAATAGTAGTTGTAGATTTTTCTTAAAATTTGATAGCCTTCTTCATCTAATATATAAAACGAAAATGTAGTTTTCTTTCTCGTTTTTTGTTTTTCTTTTTTTTTTTTGCACAATTTGTAATAGTGTTACCATTACGATTTGAAAATATGCTAAAACAAAGTGTGCTGATTACTATTCTTTGCTAAACTATTGAAGACATTATAAGAATCATTTATAATAAGAAGCGTACGAGTATAAGGCGTTTTATTTTCATTTATATAATGTACAATATATTTATATTATGTAAGTGCTTAAAATCTTGTGTGTATATAATTATTATAATTTGCATTATTATTTATATTTTATATACATACATCGATTTATTTATTTAAATAATTTATATTGCTTATTGGAACTGGAATATTTGGATCAAGTTAATGTTTTTGTAAATGTTATATAAGTAAACTAATTATAATAAATATTATATAAATATTATATCATATTATATTTATTTAATTTTAAAATAAATCTAATTTAGAAAGTGAAAATGATTTAGTAACGTTGTCGAAAAAGAAATTAGAGTTTTCACGTTTAAATGGCTCTAAAAATACATTTCAATTACATCTGTCAATGCTTGCTGCTTTTGTCATTTCTTAGCTGTCACTTTCGGCTTGCTTTTGGAAAAAATTGCGGTTCATTTTTATTAACTATTATTGCTTATTTGATGGGAGAAAGGCATCAATTTTAATATGAAATCAAAGGAGGAGTATTTTCGACATATTTTGCTTTTTTATTTTTGCAAAGGAAAAAGCATAGCACAAGCTACTGAAAAGTTACGTGATATGTATAGTGATGAAGTCTTAAAAGAAGCACTGTACCAGGATCGGTTTATTAAATTCCGTTTGGAAGATTTTTCACTCAAATACAAGCCACGCTCAAGACGGTCAAAAGAAGTTAATGATGGCGATACCAAGGATTTAACCGATTCCGATCTTGGTTGGAAAGTGATATTACATACACCATATATTTCTGACCTTGCATTATCAGAAAACGAAATATTTGGTTCTTCGCAGAATTACTTGAATGGAAAAACCTTCGATAATGACGAGACTATAAATCACCATTTGGTTAAATTTTGTGCTGATAAAAACCAGAAGTTGTCCGAGGACGAAATCATGAAATTGTCAGGAAGACTGATTAAAAGTCATTAATGGAAAATATATCATTGATATTTTTTCTTTCTATTAAAAATAAAGTCGTGATATCGCATGAAAATTTCGCTAATTATTTTTTCGTAGAAAAAACAGAAATTGTATATGTACATACATACAATGTATTTCTATAAAAAAAAGCCAACTTAAAAATGAAAAATATTTGTCTTTTTAATTTCAAATAAATTGAAATTTTTATAAAATATAAAACACAAATTCTTTTTTTTCATAATTATGGTTATAAACCTATACATATGTATGTACATATAATTATGTATTTATACTTCAAATGAACCTGTTAAAATAAAAGCCATTAAAAATATCTTTCTTAAATTTTATTTTTGCATATTTTAATTACTTAAAATAATTTTTGATTACAAATACATCTTAATTCTTACTTAGATAAAATATTTACATACAGAGGAATTTCAAAATAGAACGTTCCAATCAATGTTTCTTGGACAAATTTTTATACTTCTAAATTTGTTTTGCTTTTTTTTTTTTTTAAATTTAAAACACATAAATAATCAAAAATTAATTTCTTCTTTACCTAAAATTAAGCCTTCTTCTTATAAAAAAAAATAATAAATTTTTAATTTATTCAAAATTAATTTTTGCATTTAAATGGAAGATTGAATATTAAAATACAAATATTAATTATACAATAATTTTTTAATATAATGTTAATTTATTTTTTATAAATTTCAAAATAAAACACAAACTTATGCATCAATTCTTTTTATATAACTGAACAAAATTTTATTTGTAATAAAAAATTTCTATGAAAAATAATTATTAAAATAGGATTATTGCTGAAACATAAATAATAAATTTCAAAATAACTAAATTTTTCGATTGAAAGTTTAGTACCATAAAGAATAATTTTTTTTTTCAAATATAAAATGAAATTAACTTCATTGAAAATTATTATATTTTTTCCATCTATTTAAGACTAATAATGTTCTTTCAAAATAATTAAAATGCATTAATTTTTTTAAAACATAAATTTGTCTTTTTTTTAAAAAAAAAAAAAAAATTATTTTATAAAAAAGAGAGAGCAAACTAGAATGCAATGTAGGGATTTTACAAAATGTAATAATTATATTTATAGAATAATTATAAATTTTATAAATATCTTTTACATTTTATTTTTTGGTTTTAATTTACTAAGTTAATATATATTGCCATAATCCGATATATATTAAACTTATATAATCGTTCTAAATTCAATATATTATTAAACGAAAAAAAATTTCTAAATTCAATATTTCTATTTAAATGAAAAAAATATGACAATTGAATAAAGTAACTAAAAAAATTTCTTGCAAACATTGAACTCTACAATGCAATTATTATTCATATTCTGCGAGTCGCATCACTTCAATTTCAATCAAAATATTTTGGTTTTGAATATGGAATTTCAAAATTTCTAAATTTATTTTATTCTAAAAATCTCAAAATCTTTGAATAAGAATCCACGTTAAATGATACGATTAACAGAATGTTGATAAATGTCTTACAACATATTTCAAAGAACTTATGAGTTGATAAATTTATTATTTTAAAATTGAAAACTTTGAAATTGTTAAAAAGAAAAAAATAATTATGATTTTTTTTATGTCTGAGCTCATAAGCGGTTTGAATATAAAACTTTCAAAAATTTGATGTGTAATTTTGCTGTTCCTTGTGCTTTTAAAAATTTAAATATAATTATATGTAAATTTCAACACTAGATATTGCATGTTCAATGAATTTTAAATTAAATAATTTCATGTCTTGTTTGTTATCAATATTCAATTAGAATGTGTAATTTAAATTTATAAACTAAAATGTTAAATGATTTTGATAATATTATGTAAAAAATTTTTTTGACAAGCTTTATAAAGCTTAAAATGATAATAGTTATTATGACAATTATAATAGTTGATTATAAAATTGTGTCAAAGTAATTTTTAATAAAATGCCCGTATTTTTAAATTAAAATTTAAAAAGAGAAATAAAAAAAATTTTGTTCAAAAACTAACCGAAACGCAAAATTACTGTGTTACCTAGTTCAAATTATTTTACAGTTTTACGTCTACAATTTAACATAAAAAGTTCAGTAAAGGGATTAAAAAAAAGTTCTACATAAATATTGACTTATATTATTACATACTATGAGTTGTAGTTCTTAAAAATTATTAAAAAATTATAAATGAATTTTATTTGTTGGATAATTATAAAAACCATAAAAAATTTTATAAAAGATGCCGAAGAACAATAAATTTTTATTTGATTATACTGGAAAAAAATTAACGAAAAAAAGAATTTATATTAAAAAATTTATAAATATATTAATTCAATTTCTAATACTACTAGTACTTTTAATTTATATTAATTTTCATCAACAACTAAAACATTTTTGGTAAATTTTGAATTTTAATCTAATCTTTAATGAAATTTATAGAGTCATTAATAAAATAATTTAGGCTCATAAAAGAAACAGCATTTTTATTTCTTATGAGTACGAGATTTGGATGCCAAAAAAAAAACTCTTGTCGCTTATTTTAAAAAAAGAATTTGCTTGAAACTATTTCTACTAAATTTTTTATATACTGCTTCTACAACCATAAGTTATTCTAAGACTTCTCAGATAGTTTACTTGTTATTTTTTTTTGAATCGGTGATGCACTCGGTGATAAATTCAAATTTTTTGTTTCATTTCTAATAATTTTATGTATCCCTAAAGTTTGAGTTGCCAGCGGTGATGAGGTTAAAATTGTAGTATTCCCTGTACCAGTATTATCCTTAGTTTTCCAAAAGCATGAATCAGAAGAAAAAGCTGGACTGTTACTATTAGTATTTACTGCAATTGGTGCTGGCACCGGTGCAATAACACTTGTTGATTTATTTGTTTGAATAGCAGCCTGAAATGGTAAAGTAACTGAACCACGTTTCATTTGTTCGAATACAGACAGTTGTTGCTGAACATTAACATTATTACTATGTTGTACCAAATTTCTTTGATTTTGTATGGGAGAGGTTTGTACCGTTATATTTGCACCCGCAGCATTTCCAACTGTTTGGTTATGCTGTGATGGGATCATTGGTGGTGGAATATTTGGTGGTGGTATTGAAAAATTACAACTACTCATTGATGTATTACTTGGTCCAAAATGTGAAACAGTGTTAAAACGTTGAACTAAAGATGATCGTACTCCACTAACAGAACTACCAGAAAAATTAACTGCTGAAATGACCGGAACAGGTGAAGGCATTTTCGTACTATGAATGAGCATTGCATTTGATAAACGTTCCGATGAGTTTGCAATTGATGAAAGGACGTTAGTCTGATTCTGAACGTTAATTTGTACAGCTGATTGAGAATTAATAGGTATTTGCAGTGGTGACTGACCCGTTTGCAATTGTATTGGATGATGCAATTGTACTGCATGTTGTTGTTGTTGTGGCTGCGACTGGTTTTGTTGATTAGGTGTTGGCGGTGATGGAAATGATCCATTTAAAAGACGCGGCGGTATGGGTATCGGATTTTTAGAAAAATACATACAGCTTACTGCAGCATCAAAATGAAAATATGTGAAATCAGGTGGACTATCCGGTCTTATACAAATAGGCTGTTCTAAATGTGATGGAGGTGAGCCGGGGGGTGGAGGTGGTGGAGGAGCATTTTCTAATTCCGCATCAATACTAACATCAACATTGAGCAATTCCTAAAACAAAATTTTATAAGCTCAAATCTTAAATTTTTCTTCAGTAAATACAATGAATGCCTACCATTAAGTTAGTGTTTTCCTTATTTTCTGAAGCTAGTTTAGGTTTTCTTTTTTCTTTCCTCTCTTTTTTAACTTTCTTTTCTTTTTTAATTGTGGTACTTTTCTCATCTACTGGACCATTTCCAGGTTTGATGCCATCAGCAAACAGTACTCGCTTTTTCTCTTTTGGCTTCTCTTCACTAGTTTCGTTTTTTAAATTATAGAAGTTATTAAATATATATGTATATATATGTTAAATAAAATTAAAGCTTACGGTTTAATTAATATGCTTTTCATATTTCCATCTGAATCGCGATGTAATTTTAGCACTGCAGCCAACATTTGACGCCTATGCACTTCACGCTTCCAAGATGGAATTTTCTTTTTTTTTTGTTCGATTCCTTGTGTTAGTAATGATCCATCCTCTTTCTTAATATTTTCCATACATATTTCCCCTTTTATATCCGATAATTTCAAATTTTCTTTGGACTCTAATTTAGTTGAAATTGAAGATTCTACATCATTTGGTAAAACAGCTGATGGAACTATTTCCAAAACGTTTCCCTTTTGGACAACAACGGTTTTTACGGTATTTGCCGTTTGAGAGTCAATTTGATTGACTTGTAAATAATTTCGATTATCTTGATAATCTGAGTTAAAATAGTAATCACAGTTTTCATTATTTGGATATAACCCGTTGCCCGATTGAGGGCCGTTAAAATCAAATGAGTAATGGGGAGCAGATATTCCAGAAGATTGTGATTGAATGTAATCATAACTGGAATACTGACCGTAAGATTGATACAAAGTATCGTTTCCAACTCTGCTTCCTATAACAGTGTCTATCCGCCTTGGAGGATCATTATGAACAGTCATTGTCATACGACTAGGGGAAGTTGCATAACCATAAGTGTTTTCTGCATAATACTGATTACTATTATTGGCATGATCGGAAATCCAGTGTGGGTGATGCATCGCATCCGTGCGTCTAATTTTGTGTGTATGAGGTGATGATGACCGTGACCTGGTTCTTGATCTCGATAATGATCTTGAATGAAGTTTCGGACTTCTTGACGAATCATTGCCACTAGGCGGTGGTGATACAGAGGGGGAAGGCGGTCGAAACGGTATTGGGCTCCTGCTGAAATGTCTTCCTCTGGGACTGGCTGATCTTCTTCTGCTTATAGATCTTCTTGGAGAAAGTGAAGCTCTTCTTGGACTAAAAGAACGACGTATTGGGCTGACAGAAACTCGAATTCTTCCACGCCCACGAAAATTAACATTACTTTCCCTTGGAGTAATAGATCGCGAACGAGATCTTGAAAATGACCTGCTCCGATGAAAATCTGACTTGCGAATATGTTTATTTATAACTTTTTCATGAGTTCGCTGTTTAGATGTGCGACTTGGGGTTGGTGTTCTAGCTCTAAAACGTTTAGATGGAGTAATACATGGACTTCGACTTCGTCTTGGTGTTATTCGAGGTATACTAGGAGAACGTCTATGTTTATGTCGAGATGATTGCTTTTTAGTTGGTGAATCTTGACGACTGCGTCTGTTACTAGATGAACTGGAACTTTTGTGGTGTGGCGATGATTTACGACGCTCTTCTCTAGGACTCTTTGAACGTTCTCTCTTCGAGTCTTTGGAAGTGTGTTTTGATGGTGACTTACGGGAAGGACTATGTGCACTTCTTTTAGAGCTTGACTTATGGCTCCGATCAGACGATTTACTTCTCCTTCTTTTAGAATCATTATCAGATTTTGACGACTTGGACGATGAAGATTTTACAGAACTTTTGCTTGAATCATCTTTTGATTTAGGCGTATCTGTCTTAACAGGCGTCGGAGGTTTCTGTAACGCTGCACTATTTTTAGCCATTTCTGCACCAATAGAAAATATGGTCGGAACTGGAAGTGTAACAGGCAAAAACTTCTCCATATTTTGCATTGCATTATCGCTTGAATCAAATATACCAATGTTCAATTTAGACACAGTAGGTATAGAGTTTGATTTTGCTGTTGTTACTGAAGGCTTTTGAATTCTTATTTCTTTTGGTGATTCTTTTGAAGTAATGCTTGTTGTTAAGTCCTTTGGTAAGGTTTTTAGAGAAAAAGGAATATATTTTCTTATAATCAACTCAATTTCTCGTTCAAGAATATTTTTTAGACCTTTGAAAACTTCTTTGTCATCATCATCAACAGCACTCCAACTCTGTAAGGTATTCAACCTTTTCTCTAAAGCTCTTAAATTCTTGCGATCATCTGGCGAAAATTTCTTTAATGATTCGATATCTACCCCGAACATACTTCGCGGATTTTCAGAATCAGAATCGGAACTAGTGCTGGAAGTATCATCAGAGTCATCAGAATCGGAAGATGTTGAATCATCAGTATTTGATTCTGTGTTGCTTTTTGAATCTGGCGATAATTTAGTTGATATTTTTTCTGGCGCTAAGAGTATTACCGGTTCTTCAGATTTTGGTGATATAGCTAGATCAAATTGAGGCGACTTTAACTCTGAAAGTTTAAGACTATTAACTTCTGTTTGCAAGTCCCTGTTTATTAAAAGTGGTATATTTATTTCATCTAATGGAATAATGTTTTGAATTCGTTTGGGTTTAGGAATTTCAATTTTAATTGGTGATATTTTTGGTAACACATGGAAATCAACTTTCTCATCTGGACTTGTAACTTCAGTTTTAGTTTTAAAATCTTTTTTGTTATCGGCTTCATTATAAAAATTTAGTGCTGTCTTAGACACTTTCGCAACTTCCGATAATTGATGATCCAATACTTTTTCTTTATTTAAATCCTTATTGAACGACTTTGGAGATTTGGGTTCATTTCCACATGACAAATCTACACCAGCATTAGTTACACTCTGCAAAAATTGCTCATATATATCTTGCATTGCTATAACAAACTTTTGATTTGTGTTATGGTTTAGCTCTTTTTGAGGATTATTCAAAGCAGTACTCGAATTATTACTAATGGCAGTTGATAATGATTTTGTTGGTGGAGTGAGGGACTTACACATTTCTGAAATTGGAGTCTTTAAATCTTTTCTTTGGTCAAAACCTTTTCCATTTTGTTCCATTTCTTCAATTGAGTCCTCTATTGCATTTAAATTATTACTAAATCTTTCTTTGGCTTTGTTTTCTACTACGGAAAATAATTTAGGTGGTTGTGCAACTTCTTTTATGTTTAAGGTCATGGCTAATTCTGGTGGTGGACTTGGATTTACAAACAAGGGAGTACTGAATCCATCCTTGATTTCCTCTTCTTTTTTTTGTTTTTTATTTTTACTGTGATTTTTGTCAGCATCATTATTGCTGCTAACACTCGTATCACTGCTACTGCTGCTACTACTACTATTGCTACTGCTACTACTAGTACTCGTGCTGTCATCGTTATCACTGTCATCATCAGAAGAAGAGCAGCTTTCATCACTTTTCTTCTCTTGTTTTATTATTATTGGCTCTTCGGTAGATATCCTTTCCTTTTTAATTTTAACAAGTTTTGTATTGCCACCCAAATTTTTAAAAATTTCATTTTCAATAACATCTTGGTTTCTTTTTATAACTTCCAATTCATCGTCAATTTCAACCTTAATGTTTTTCAAAATCTCTTCATGTGTTTTGTCATTAACCAAAGTCGAACTTTCCGATTTGTTATTTTCATTCATTTGTGATGATGGCAAAAAATCTTCATCTTCTTCCCACATGTCCTGATAATCTTCGGTATCGGGGCTGCTATCAGATCCTACATCATCAGTTTCTTTGGTTGTTAACTTTTTTCTTTTTGTTTTTTTCGGTTTTCTTTTTCCTTCAATGGCTTGAATAGTTCCATCTTTCGTTAAAGGAAAACCATCTTCAGGCTCTTCATCAAAAACAAAAAGCTCGTCAGAAAATGATAGATAATTCGCATTAACATTTGCAGTTCGTTTTTGCATTTTGTCTTTCTCTTTAACAAGTTTAACTGACTTTTCCATTTTTGTTTCGGGTTTAACAATATCAGCTATTTTTACAACTGAAGATATGGAAGGCATTTCAGGGGTCGTTGACTCAGGTTCCGGTGTATTTGGACTCGATTCGTGGAAAATATCAAATTTTTTGCTGCTTTTTTCTTTTGTATCACTTTCTTTACTTTCCTTGCTTTCTTTTGTTCCTTTATTTTCTTTATTTTCTCTTTCTTTACATTCTTTTTCCTTATTTTCCTTTTCCTTACATTCTTTTTCCTTGCTTTCCTTTTCCTTTTCTTTACTTTCCTTTTTTTTAATCTTATCGTCTTTTTCTTTTAATAGACTTTTAGTAGACTGTTTGTTCTGATCAGCACCAATTTTATTATCGGTACTAGTTTTATTTTTTGATTTTTGATCATCTACCCCTTTACTACAATTTTCTTTGTTCGTTAAGACATTTTTTTCTTGTTTTAAGCTTTCTTTTGAACAAAGCTTTTCTTTTTCTATTTGCTTCACTTTTTTACCGATTTCCTTTTCAGAATTTTTATCACTATGACTTTTTGATTTTTTGGAACTGTCTGTTGTTTTAGAAATCTTTAATTTATCACTGCTGCTTCTTGAATATTGAGATCTATCATCATCTGCAGATTTTTCTGAAACGCGGGATCTATCATCACTGCGCGATTTTCTTTCCCTAATCATTTTCTTGTTAGGTTTTTCATTTTTTCGCTCATTACAAGATTTTTCATTTTCGTCTTTATCGGATTTTTTCCTGATGTAATCTTTTTCTTTTCTTTTTTCATCTTTATCCCGGTCTTTACTATCAGTACGGTGTTTTTTCTTCAATTCTTTTCTTTCTTTGACATCTTTTTTCTTTGATTTTGATTCTTTCGACTTATCTTTTTCGGTTGAATAATTTAAACTTTTTTTGTCTCGGACTTTTGAAGATCGGTTTTCATTGTCATCATTTTGATATTTTTTCTTATCTGCAACGATAGGGCTTTTTTCTTCTACTTTTGAATCACTTGACTTAGTTTTATCGAATGCCTTGGTTTTAGAAAGGTCCAGTTTTTGTATTGTAGTATAATTTGGATTTGGATGCCAAGATAATGATGGTTTGGTTTTCGTGTACCTATATAATAAAAAGCGTATTAGTTTACACAAATTCGAGTTGCAACAACTGCGACAACGTGAACAAATTGCAAAACTTATGCATTTTTTAACGTAATCTTTAAATTTATGTGTGTATTTAACAAATTTAATTGAATTCTTTTAAACAAAGTATGAAAATTGGAAATAAATAAAAATATAAGAAAATATTTGGGTATAGTTTTAAGAACAAGAGAAATATTCAAACTTTTTTTGTAATTTATTAAGAAATAATCTATAAAATGTGCAGCAAACAGTTCACGCTATTGCAATTAAATTTAAAAATACCATAAATTTTTGCTTACATTAGCTTAATTTTAAAATGTGGCTTAACTTCTTGATTTAAATCTCGAAGTTCCATTGAATTTCTTCTTACAAAACCACGACCCCTTCTATAGAATAGTTAGTTTTGCATTAATTTGAAAAATTATATTACATATTTAGTTTGATCTCACCCAGGAAAAAATGCACCACGATGTGCTCCTCTAAAACCTAAACGCGCTTTGACACTAACACCTCTGTTTACTCCCCTAAATAAAGGAAAACCACGTGGAGCCATAATCATCGGTCCAGAATGGGGAATAGCAAAATTTCCATCAAAAAATGCATTATTAGGCATATCTGGAACCGACATGTAACGATCATCTTCTTGATCCTGATATGTTTTTAAGATTTCCAAGGACGAAAGAGATTTACCTGTAATTTATCAAATATTCTTAAGATCTGATTTAAATATTCTTAAGATAGGATAAATTTGATTATAATTGAATGCACATTTTTACATACAGAAATTTTGTTATCTATTTTGTTTTAACTACATACATATTTGCATAACTTACATTTATACAATTTATATTTATTAATTTGAACAAAAATATTATAGAAATTTAGACTACATACATCAAAAATAATCAAAATTTATTCATGTTCTACCTATAAGTAGATTAAATGTTTAAAATTTATGAAGCTTCTTAAATATAATGCCTACAATATAAACTCTTATATTGAAAAGAATTAGAACGAATATATTAAGCTTTTTTAGAAGAAAGTAGTTACTGATCGTAGAATAGCAGGAAATAAATCCATCAACATCTTAATAAAAAACTGAATCAACAAGTTTCTGGTATACAATAGATTATTTTGATATGATATTATTTTGAAAATTTTATTAGATTTTCCATATAAAACAAATTATGTAAAATTGATTATTTTTCTATGTCATTTAATAAAACTAATATTATATTACAAAAGAAATATAATTCTCTACTATGTTTTTAAATTGACAAAACCCGATAGAATACGAAAAATCTCTCAAATTTCGCATCATGAATTTCCACCACACCTGCAAAATTTCACTACTGCTCCTTCAATCATCCATTTTTATTTCCACAATTTTAAAGGATCGTCATTATAGTTTTTAGCTTCATTTTCTCAGATTTTTTTTTATCAGTGATTTCAATAATCTGTATCCGAATTTGTGATTAATCTTCTTTGTTGAAAAATTATACTAAGGCATATTATAACCTTTTAGCACTAAATTGCTACAAATTTAATAATTTCCATAATTTCTTACAATTTACATTTAGTTTGGAGAAAAATCTTTAAACTTAACACTTACCATTTTCACTTTTAATTTGTTCATTACCGCCATCATTTTTTCCCTTATCGTCATTTCCCTTTAAAGGCTCATCCGAATTAAGCGTTGGTGTGCCTGGCGGCGTTACTTTTAATTCTCCCGGCTCCATACTATCTTCATGATCTTCATCAATATTTTTAATTTCGCTCATTGTTAGTTATTTAGTTTCGTGTTACAAAAAATTAATATTTTAACTAATAGTTTTTAATATCTTGTTTTTTTTTTATTTTTTTTTCTGATAGTTAGCTTTACTTCATCACTTTTTCGTCAAGTTATTGATTAACAACGTGATGCAATTAACTGAATTTTTTATAATAAACCCATGTGATAACAGTTTGTAAGTTCTTAGTATCTTGTTTGGTTATTCTTTAGTTGGGAAATATTTTAAAGTCAGTCTCACATCACTAAAAATTCTTTTAATATTTCCAAACATTTTCTTTGTAGTTTTACAGGAAAATAAATTAATAGATTTCCCTTTGACACTTTTGACACTATCTAAATGTCATATATTAGAAAAGCAGGGCTGTTTCATTTTTTTAGCCAAATTTTTATAAAAGATGTTAAATTTTTGGGATAAAATGACTTCACTACATATGGTAATATTTTCGATTAAATATATAAAGGAAAGTACGCTTTTAAATGATTGTATTAATATTTTTTGTAGTAATATCTTTAAAAAAAAACTGTTTTTCCTAATTTCCTAAAAATTTTGAACTTGTCATCAAAGAAGCTCTTGCTCTTCAGTAACTTCGCAAAACATGAAAAACTACACTGGATTCATTTTTACTATTTTCGCCTCAATTAAATTTTATTTTAATATTATGCAAATTAAATATATTGATGTAATGTCAAATAATATTATTTAAATACCAGCCTGGAAGCTATATTGTAATTAATGAGTTATGTAGCAGGCGTTTTTCGATTTCATTTGTGTAAATTTATAACAGACTTATAATCTGGGAGTGTTGTTTTTGTAGACGTTAATTTTGTTTCGCAGTCGTGATTGCATCTAATCAAGATATACTTCGACAATTGAACGGACGTAATTATTTTTTATTAGCTGTCAGTCAGACCTTAAAGTCAAACTAATAAAAGAAAACATTATACCTATTTTCATAAAACCAGAAATAAATTTAATTCGTAATAAAATATTAAAACTATAGACTATAGTAATGGGACAAACTGGAAGCCACGACAATACAACAAACAACGTTGTAGATGATCTACAAATTGAGCTGATAAAGCATGCTAAAATATTTTCAGAGATAGGAGCTTTAAGTTATGATGATTTTAAAAAATGTCTTGAAGAGTTGAACGAACTGTATATCATAGCATATCAGATAGGTTCAAAGAATATTTTAAAACTTTAAATTTTTGTTTTTAGATCAAGGAAATGCTTGGATACAAACGGAAAACAGTTAATATTTTTAATAAAAAAAGGTACTGACACATCAATGTTTTGGAAGGCAACAGTGCGAATTGCATGCATAAAAGTAGATCCATCTACAAGAAAAATTGAAAATTATAAGTTCTTAAATTTAAAACAATTTTTATGCGTATTTAAAACATTTCAATCCCACCTTGAATCGTTATTATCCAGCGAGGAAAATCAACGGGTAAATTCATAATAAGGAGACGTTTGATATTTTAAAGAAGGCTCATTTTAGGTGCGACAGCAAGAAAAAATCACAGCTTCAATCCTTCTAGATCATGTTAGCGGTATAACACAATCAGTACCCAAATCTCCAACAGATTCTGAAAATTCAGATGACAGTGATGATCATGCTTCAGAATGCTGCATTTGTTTAGAACGTAAAATTGAAGTTTTACTACCGTGCACACATGTTTTTTGTAGCCCATGCATAGAACAATGGAATATTAATAATAAAACATGTCCAGTTTGCAATGAAACTTTAGAAAACACAAATGAATCATGGGTAGAAAATAATTTATATTGAATTATTTTATAACATAAATCATTCTTATAATAGGTGATGCCAGATATTCCTGGTGTGGAAGAAATCAGTGATGAAATTTGTTCAGAACTCATGGATTTATCAAAAGAAAATAAATAAGCACACATCATCAACACATTCGAAATTCTACAATTTGGTAATTTTTACTGCCAAAATGTTACCATTCGTTTTTTCAAGCTTTGATTTGAATCAAAAACGATGACATTTTGTTATTAATCAAAATCGTTCACGGTATTCAACACATTCTTTTAAGAAGTCAGAAAGATATTCATAGTCATATTAAACATTTAGAAGATCAAAATGATATAAAAATACCTTTCCATAACTGGAAATGTTACGCAAATGCAGATCATTTGAGATAAACATTATATGATAATATAAAAATGACTTGTAACGCATTAGAATTTTTGTTTATTTTGTACATATTGGCTTAGAATTCAAACATTTTTATGTATGTATATAACTAAAATATACTATATTCTAAGAAATTACTACATTGTTCCATATACATAAATAAAATATGCAATTTCTTCAATTAACTTAAATTTTTATATTTCATTTTATGTAAGTTTACTCTATTCTAAGATTATAATTATATCTTAATTAGAATTTATATTAATTCGTTAAATATAAGCAAAGCTAAGTTATTAACATTCAAAGATTAAAGATTTCGGTATCCGAACCTAATGTTTAATTAGCTCTTCGTTTTATAGTTACTTTTGCTTTTGCCAGTTGAGACATATTTATTTTAACCTTATTATTATCATTTATTTTTTTTACCCAAACCTGCAATTATTAAATCATTAAAATTTAATAAATTCATCAAAAAACACTCACAATCTCATTTCCAATTGCTGATATAGTTGCTGCGAATCTGGGTAAATCTTTACCTTCCACATATACTGGTTGTCCCCGATGAAACCACCGACGTTCATAAAGTAATTTACCGTCTTCGATTCTGGTTTCTAAAGTTTGTTGTGGGATTTCTACCATCATTCCGGACTGATGATTATTAGCTCCGATTCCATTAGTAGTGAGAGCTAAAACTATAATTCCAGATTAAAAAATAGATATGAAAATTTGAATTCACCTCTGCTTATTTGTTTTAAGTCACTGTCAATCTCTTTTTCGTCCAACTGATAAACAAGTAATTGCCCTGTGGTTGGTTTCCGTCGTTTTTCAACTATTGGAACTGGCTCATTTCCACGTCTACGTAATTTTCTTGTTATAGTTGGTTTTGTTTCCATTGAATCACTCGTTAACTCTAAACTATGACGTTCAGATTCAATTATTCTTCTTTTATCTTCAAAATCAGTTAGTAAATTTTCTTTTAAATCTATTTTTTTCTCTTCATATTCCTTTGTAGCTGCTTTTTTTTCAATATAATAATCCCGATCAACACATTCTTTAAGATAATCTCTATAAATTTCGTTTAGACGTAGCCTCTCTTTATATTGATGTTCCAATTTTTTAACACGTTTAACATATTCTGGATGCGTACCATTTTGTAGCTCTTCTAATTGCTTTTTAAGACTAGCTAATTTATCCTGATACATTCTAAAATAGCAAATAAAACAGTTTGTTATAATACATATTTTTATGGAATTTTATTGAATTATTTTACTTACTGTTCTTTAATTTCCATTGGTTCATCGTAATTGCGGCTAGATCCAAACTCATTTTCACTGGCTTCTTCCGTATCTACAATATTGTTTTTCTGTCTTTAATATATGATAAACATATTTAACTTTATTATTAAACATATTACCTTCACTCGAACGGGTTTCACTCATTCGATCCTCATCACCATCATAATACTGCGGCGTAGGATAGCTCGAGTACGATATCTCAGAATTAGAATAATGCATCGCGACCATGAATACTTTTTTATTTGAACTATTATTTTCAGAAATATTTAAAAATATCTTTTAAATTACTGTTTTTCTTTTACAAACAAATCTTTAGTAGTCTTTCTTTATTAGGCTGACAAATGACAAACTATTAAGTAAAATATATTCAAGCATTTGTCATTTCCAAATTTTTGACATATTCGAAATAATTCTGTTCATGCCACTAGCTAAATCGATCTGACATTTCTAGTGATAACCTTAATCATAACGACCTTTTCTGGATAATTTTATTCTGGTAGTGTTCCTTTATTCCATTCATTCGAATATTGAATGGAATATTCGATGGAGTTATCTTAAAACGAACTATCCTTGAGGCTTATTTTTTTTCCGTAAAATAATTATCTGTTTAAAAACAGCCGTTTGTTGATTTTATTTGTACGAAAGTATTGCGAGCTTATATGGGAGTGTTATTCTTATAATTCTCTGAATGGTTATGGTATACAAACGAAGAGTCAGACATCGAAGTTTAGGATTTAAAGTTTAAATCAGAGTTATCTTTTATTGTTCTTTAATTTTTAAAGTGAAGTGAACCTAGTGTCAGTTGGGCGTGATTTGAATATGGAGGGATATTGAATGAAGGCTTTATTTAGTTATTATAATTAGAAAATCCTTCGTTGTTTATCAAGAAGTTTTATATGTAGTTAAATTGTTAAGGATTTAAATATAAATAAAGACAAAAAATGGACAAATATATTAAATCAAGTTCCTCTAATGAAAATATTCAACAGAAAAATGAAAATTTTATTTCAAATATATGTCAGTTCCAATTTAAACTGTTTAAAGAAGAAAATATTACATTTGAAGAGTTTTTAGAATTCACAAATGTAAAAGAATTGGTTGAAATAAGTTTAAGGTGGCGTATTTTCAGATAATTAATTTGGCTTTAATATACATAATAATTATTTTAATTTTGAAGGCGGAATCATCCGAAAAACATAGAAGGTCGCTTGAAAAAAGTAGGCGAATATGCAAAAAAAGTATATAAATCATGTCAATCTGACCCATTATACTTGTCTAAAACTACAACATTTTTAAATTTGCAATATAAACGAAAACCGTGGTTACGGCAAGATATAGACAATCATGAAGGAACTCGGGAAGTGAAAAAATTTTCAAATTTAGTTTCCGAAGATGCTACTTTTTCAAAAGAAATGAAAAGGAAAAAACCGGGACCAAAATCAAAGACAATAAAAAAGAATTTAATTAATAATAAAATTGAAGGCTCTAAAAGAGTTGAGAAACAAACTGAAACGAAATCAGTAACTTCAAAAACCATACCTGATGTCCAAGCTAAACCAGTTGGAAAGTTCGACCTCAATGAAGTAAATTCTGAGATGCAAGATGCAATTCTCACTTCAGAAGTTAAATCGGTTTTCAACAAAACCTCAAATAAACCTGGACCAAAATCGATAAAAGAGCAGAATAAAAATTTAATAGAATTTTCAGTTAACAACGAGCTCCAAGAAGAGTATAAAGAAAATATGAAAAAACCTCAAAATGAATCGAAGATTTTGAAAATTACAAATAGCGGTGGTAATCAAGAAACGAATATTAACTTTCATAAAACAGATCAACTAATAAAATATGGTGATTGCCTAGCTTTTGAAGGAAAAAATGATTTAGATACCGATGAAAGTGCCACAACCCAAATTTTTAATGTATTTCAAGAGAAAACTAAATTTGTGGAAAACATAAATGAAAAAATTGTTCCATTTAATAAGAATAAAATGTTAGGTCAACAGATACAGAGTTCTTTAAGTGGACTGAAAAGTAATGCATCAGACCTACCAATTTCAGAAAAAATTGAAATTGAAACATGTAAAGAAAAATATTTAAACGAGAGGAATAACAAATCAAATTTGCAAAAACCTGCCAAAAGTCCAATCATAGTAAAAAAATATCAAAAACTTTTCGAAAGATGCAATGCCCTAAATCTAACGGAAGAGTTTAAGCTAAAGGTGATTACAAGATATGAGACCGAGCTGAAAAAAAGAAGATTAAATGATGTTTTGCTTAATAAAAATTTATCAAGTAAGTTTTCGATGCATTTAAAAATTTCTACAAATATAATGTGTATCCTTTCTTACTCGTAGTAAACGATTCAGATAAAGATAAAATATTCAAAATGTCTTTAAAAGAATTCAAAACTAAAACCAATATTGCTGAATTAATTTGCAATACAAGAAGATCGAGAATAGGCGAAAAAATTGCCTTAATTGATTTGGAAAAATGCATCAAAGCAATTTATGAAACATTTATTAAGGAATCAATTTGGGTTGAAAATCTTAAATTGGATTCTCATATTTCAGAACACATGCCTTTATACAAAAATATGGAATATCGAAATATAAGAACTGGTGAAAAAATAATGAGTGACGAATCTGAAAATAAAATGCAATTAACAAGTATTAATGATGCTACAACAGAGATTTGTGTCGAGCAGAATAACGATAATATAGGGTTAACCAGAAACTTCAAAAACAGTGAAAATTTAACAAAGAAAATTTCAAATAAACAAACCGAAAAACTCGATAACCATAAAAATATTCAAGTTTCATGTTCAAAAGACCGAAATATAACTAATATAGATAAAGAAATAAATAATGAAATGGCAACATTATCACAGAATTCCATAGGTTCTACTAAAAATCAAAACCATACTAAAAAACTACAACATTCTGCTGAGGAGAATGAAAATATTAGCTCTGATATTTTGGAAATTTCTGTAAAAAAAGAACATAATACGCAATACTCTAATTATTCAGATGAAGTTTCAATTTTATCACAGGAAATGAATAAAAGTATTATTATCGAAGATGATGAAATGGAAGATATTAATGAAATATTGAAAGAAATGATGTCTTCATCACCGTTAGAAATGGTTTCTGTAAAAGCGTCCCTGACAGACGACAATGTTAATGAAAAAAATTCTTTAACATTGAACAAAAAATTTAGTTCTAAGAATGGTACGGAAATAGATACCCCTCCGAAAATATATATGAAATCTAACACGCTAGAACAAGAAACTCAAGATTTTTTTGATTTTGGATGCAAATCAGCACCATGTTTTTCAAATGAAATTTTGAAAATGAATACAGATTTGAAAATAGACTTAATAACTCAACCAAAATGTTTTCAAAATAACAATTCTAATGGAGTAAACCACCAATTACTATCAGCAGCCTTTCAACAAAGAGTGAGAAACAGAAGGCAATTTGCGAGAAAAATAATGCAAAATGCACTCAGTAATGTAGATGAGGATATTTTCAGTACACTCGCTGAAGGAAATCTTGTGATTTCGAGCAATTTAAATTCAAATTTTCCAATATTTCAAGATAAAATACATTTTGATAAGGAAGTCGTACAAAAACCGGAATATCAGTGTGCATTAAAAATAGAAGAGGTTTCAGAAAAATCTGACAAGAAAGAAAGTGAAGAAGTCGATTATAAAAAATACCTAAATTTAGATTTTCAGAATGATGAGCATCAAAATGATAAAAATGAAAGAACATCGTCATGTAGCACTCAGGAGTTATTATCAACGCTATTGAACAATTGTAATGAAAACACTGAAACGGTGTAAAATTAAAATAATTAACTACAATGTAGAATTAAAATAAAAATAACATTTATTTTTTATCTGTATTTATAATTTGCTGAATCACCGATTGTAGACCTATTGAACAATACTTTGTTCCAAAAATTTGACTATTCAAACAAAATTATTTTAATTGGGGGTATTATCCTTGTTTCATTTTTTAAATATAAAATAATTTGCTATTGAAAAGCATCATAACCATAATAGAATGTTTTTAAAATTTAAAAACAAATTTCAACACGCTTTCAATTTGCCATAACTTCTAACTAACAACAAATGGAAATTTAAAACAATTTTTAAATCACTCTGAATAGCTTGTTCTGGTGATTTTCTTCTTTCACGATTTCCCACATTGCTAATCGTACTATAGGACTCGTAATACAAACCACAATTGCTTCTTGTAAAATTTGTGGTATAAAATTAAAATAAATAAATCGCTACATAAAATCTAAATTAGAAACAGAAAGTTATGATTTATCATAACTATTAATTGTGATAATTTAAATTTACAGACAGTTTAAAAAATCAAATGAATGTACATCGGTACTTGCAGCTTACCACAACTTTAAATTTGTAGGAATACTACTTTACTGCACAATCAGTTGAATTGCTTGTTATCGCATTACTAATATTTTGTGTTATCATGGAAAATGAAATATTGCAGTGTATGTCAAACTGAAAACATTATTTTTATGTGATATGCAAGGTTATCAGTTACTGCTTGCGTATACAACTGTTGTGAGTTTGATGAAACTCGTTAGCCACATTGGACATTAAACTTTTTAAAATTATTAAATTTCAACGTTTACATTATTAAATTTTGACGTTAAGTCTAAAGGCCTTCAGATAATTTTAGTCGTAGATTAAATCTTAGATTTTGTCGTAAGTAATTTTTTACGTAAGCTACTGTTTTTCTTATACAAAAAAAATTACCTGGTTTTAAATAAATAGTAATTGCAAATATAATTTTTCCAATGAAGTTTAACGTGAAATTTCGTAAAGCATAACTTCAAAAATGCACTGAAAATGTAATCAAGCATTTTCTTTGACAGCACATTTAGATTTTAGTTGCTTCACAATACTAAATTTTGAAACTTGGCGTCTTGATTAAGATACACTCAGAATTAGTTATTGGCCCAAATCTTGCATTAAATAAATGTTTTTATTTTATATATGTACATGTAATATTTAATATTATGTAGTGCACAGAATATGGATTTATACAATCTAAGCTAAAAAATTAAAGCACAAATTATGTGCAGATTATATGCATAATTATTTCTTCAAAAATTGAAGAAATAATTTCATTTGACATTTGTACTTCATTTATTACATAGGTTTTAAAAACAATTATAGCTAATTTCATGATCTTTTAGCTTTATAACTTTAAAAAGGCATTAATAGATGGATTGTCAAAATGGTATGACATTTTTAGTTGACTCAGCTGATAATATTATTGACAAATAAATTCCTAATAAGTGCACTGGTAAAATATTGACAGTTTATAGAAAATTGTAGAAGGAGAATTTATTTCAATTAATTGTATTAGGCGAAACACATCATTTTTATATTTTTAAATATTTATGTTTTAAGGTCTGTGAAAAGTAGCAAGAATTGTTACTTAAAATGGATTTTGGAACTCTTCTCCATGTAGCTAAGAAAAATAGCGAAAATGTGCAAAGTAGTAGTGTAAGTATAAATTTTTTTTGATTTCTATAATTTATGAAAAGTTTTTAATATTTACAAATGTAATTGAAGTTGTAATTGAAGATGGAATCATTAATATTTATAAATCAAGCTTTATTCAATTCGAATATGACAAATAAACCTCTGTTTTTTAGAACAAATTTTATAGCACAAAATTTGCTCCGCCGAAAAAAGAGTCAAAAGTTGAAAAAAAACTTTCAGACAACATAAAAAAGTTTCTGGAGAAAAAAGAAAAAGAAGAACGTGAGAAGGCAAAAGCAGATAAGGAAAAATTAAATAATTTATTGGCAATGAGAGACGAGAAATCCAAGAACAAAATTAGGAAGATGTTAAAAGTTACAAAGTCTGCTAATAGATCTGTTTTGGATGATGTAGATCCAAGTGCTTCAACTGTAATTGAAGATGGACTTATTCAACCAGATGAGGACGACTATGGTTACGTTTCTAATACCGCAGCTGAGCTTTTTAAAAAATATGTTGACAAAGTAGGTCAGTTACCTGAAGAAAAAAAATTTTCTGCGAGTAGACCAGCTACCATTAAAGATCTATCTAGTACTAAAGACAGGGTTAAAGCAGCAATTATCAAAGAGCAAGAGGAGAAATCCGGAAAATCTAAAACCAGTACAAGTGCCAGCAGCAGTACTAATAGTGGTAGTAGTAGTAATTTTAGTAGCAACAAACCTCAATCTGTAACAGTACAGAATGGTGATGTCAGAAAATCGCGAAAAGATATATACGATCCTAGCGCTGAAAGAGAGGCTGAAGAGCAAAGGAAGAAAGATGAATTGGCAAAAAAAGCTAAATTAAAGAATAATCGCCCCGCCCCGCCACCTTTAGACTTTCAAGAATTACTAAAATTAGCTGAAAAAAAACAGTTTGAACCCGTGGAATTAAAAGTAGATGAGGCGAAAAAGGAACCGGAAAGACTTTTAACAAAAAAAGAAAGGCAAGAATTCGAAGAACGTAAGAAGTATTTGGAAGAAAAAGAACGAAGAAAAAAATTAGCTGAACAAAGTGGAACTGATTCTGCTCAGCGGCCCAAAATGCAACCAAACGGTAAGATTCCAAAAATTAATAGTGAAACAAGTAATTCTATTCCAAAACTCAACAAGTCAAGCATTCAAGATAAAAAACCACAAAAAGACCCTTTGCCAAAATCTAATACAAGTATAACTACTAAACCAAAATCTTTAAATAACGGACAGTTTAATGGACAACGTGATTTAAAGGAATCACAAATAAAGTCATCGAAAGATATAAAATCTTCATCAAGCACTAGTAGATCAAGTGAATTAAATAGCAACGCGTCAAGAAATAATAGTTCAACGTCTTCATCGTCTTCCAAAACTGGGATTAAACCCAGTACAACTAATACAGCGTATAAGTCTAGTGGTAACTCTTTATCAAATAACGTAAAATCAAGTAACAATAATATGGGAAAAGAATTACTTCCTAAAGACAAGAAGTTACCATCAACAAAAGATACCAAAACTAGAGAATTTCCTCCAAAAGATATACAAAAAACAAGAGAATTTCCTCCAAAAGATGTTCAAAAGACAAGGCAATTTCCTCCACCCGATGTGAGAAGATCCAAACCCGAGAAGAAACCATTGAAAAGTGAAGTGTTTATTTATATTTCTTCTTTTTGATTTTTTTTAAAAAATTTATTTTTTGATTTAGGAAGAATATTAGATGATGATGATGAAGAATATGATTCTGAAATGGATGATTTCATTGACGACGGCCCTGAAGAAACATATGGCGGTGGTTATTCGAAATATATTAAAGAAATATTTGGTTACGATAAATCACGGTATCGAGATGAAGAATTTGATGATAATGAAATGGAATCTAGTTTTGCACAACAAATGCGTGAAGAAACAATCAGTAGGAAAATAGGTAATTATTAACTTTTTTTGTCTGTTATACAATTGAGCTATTTACTTTAATATTAAAATTTATTTAAATAAAATTTAAATGTATTTTAATTAAATATCATTTGAAAAATTAAATTTTAACAAAAATTAATATTTGTTTTAGGTTTAATGGAAGATTTAGAAGATATGAAGAAAGAAGCGGAAGAGAAAAAGCGTAAATTTGATAAAATGAAGAAAATGAGACATAAATGAAAGTTATTGAATTTGAAAATTTTGGCTGTTTATATTGAATTATTAATTGTAATATTATTCATTTTAATATTAATTTTATTTAATTTTTTTGCAAATATGCCCCATACCATTTTCACAAAAAAATGGCAGTACCTTCAGATAGATTTATGTTATGCATTTAATAAATATGGTCTAAAATCTAAATTTAAATAATAGTGGCATTATTCACAAAAATTTTATTTTATTTTAAAATAACTGAAAAACATTTGAACTAAAATTAAAAGAAACTAAAATAACAAATAGTTATTTTACACATTCCCAATTATAATTAAAATAATGTCACAAATTGAAGATAAAATTAAATATAATCATGAAATGATAGCATTCATGGGGCAATAAAATGCAGTAAATTATTAAAAATTTAATTTTTTTTTTCTATTTTAAAATTTTTTTGTTTAAAATTTTTTTACGATTATGATTTCCTTAGTATAAATTTTTTTCTTTTTTATTTTATTTTATACTAAATTAATATACATACTTGAGGAATTGTAAAAAGATGTTTGAACAAAATTATTGAAACAGTCATGATAGTTATTTATCTTATATGAATTTAAAATTAATGTATAAGAACACATGTAGACATGCACATATTTATACATAATATTTACATATATATGTATGCTAATCACAAATATAATAATATTTATATATACATATATATTTGTATGTTAATACCCAATAAAGTAATTATAGTTGTCTATAAAAAATTGTAAAGATTATGCTACAAAAGATTATCGATTTGCTATGAAATTATGTACATTTGTATTAAAATATACGTAAAATATAAAAGGAAAAAGCAAATATTTATTTGTTTCTAACCATCTGATATTACAACGGTCTGATACCTACTTCATTAGCAAAATGAAGATACTTATTTACATAATCTTAAATAATTTGGCTACAACAATTAAAAGTTTAACATACATTTTCAAATATACATATATATTTTGGTGATGTAGAACATTTATCGCTTCCAAAATAGATATTTAAAATTTTTGTCAGAACAATATCCTGGTTTGTTTACTAGAACAGAGTATAATAATCCTACATTTGAAGTTCAATACTAACGTTCATGACGACCTTTTTCCTTTATCATTATTTAATATGGGGAGGATTTTCTTTTGTCATAATATTTTTCTTTTTTACTTGCACTATTTTAAATCTTATATAGATGCAGTTTTTTTGATATACAAATGTTTGGGTTTTTATAATATGTTTTATATTTTTCCTAGTGTGTTCTACAAAATATTGCTTAAGACCAATGTATTCAATTCTAATTATATTATGAAAAATTTTGCAAAAAATACCATATAATTTTAAAATAAAATAAATATTGAAAATTTTATTCACCAGATTCCAAATTGCCTCATAATTTATATTAAATTAAATTATGATAACAACAACAAAAAACAAAATACAAAATTTAAAGCAAAATTATATTTAAAATATTACTGTAGCCTCTACCTATTAAATTCAATGAATTCAAGAAACTGGTTCATGGTTATCTACATTATCATGCATCAGCCCTATGCACCTCCGAGGAGCGAAGTAGGGTAAAAAAAAAAATATTTAAAATATAATAAATTTATTCTGATTAATGAATTTTCGGACTATGAAACGGAATATAGGGCAGGGTGTCTGTCTACCAAAACGCAGACCTAGAATCTATAATTTAAATTAAGTAAAATTTAAATTAATTAATAAATCAAATTAATTAAACAAATGTCCTAATTCTAATGATTTTATAGCTTATTTTTTATATTTAAGAAAAAATAACAATACAAAATTGTAAAATTAAAATTTTTTCTTTATTATTTTTGCATAGAACTTTACATTGTTTTTTTTTTTTTTTACAACATCAGTTAAATTAAATCCAGTAAATTATTTGAATAACTACAAATATTTTATTTAATTGTAATTTTTTATATTTTTTTTGTCATTGTTTTTTTTAAAAAATACTAAAACTTGTTAAGTTTCTGATCGCATAATATTATGTACTTTAAAATTAATATATTTATTTGTTTTTGTTTTTAATATCTATAATTTTAGATTTAATTTTTACACAAATTTTTTATAGACCATCATACCGATAATATGAATAAAGAAAAACAAAATTTTATTGATATTTTTTTTTGTATTTAATAATTTAAAGTTTTTTAACAATTTGTATAAAATGTATAATTTCTTGAAATTATTGTAAATGTTGAGTATATAAAATAAATATTTTTCATAATTAAAATTAAAATAAAATTCTATAAATTGTGTTCTGGCAGGTATTCAGCCCCAATTAATTTTTTTATAATTCTATATGCTTAAATGTGTTGAATTCATCAAGTTGTCCATTAGCAGTTTTTATCATCACTTAGATAAGAATTTCAGAACAGTAATTGAAATGAAAATAATTTTTTTCTTCTTGTTTTTACGTATAAATTGCAAAATTACATTTATTAAAAATAAACACTGAATTGTTATAAAAAAAAAAAACATTTCGTTTGTCTTGTGAAAAATGCAAGATAAATTTTTTTTTAATTAATTTTACATTTTTAGATATGTTTTCAAAATAAATTTTGTGGGAAAAAACAAATAATTTATTTTCGATACTATTAAATTTTTACAATACGAAAAAACAAAAACAAATTCGGAAAATAATACAGAAATAAAATTAAATAAAATAAAAAATTGTAAATCCTTTTGTATTTCTATTTCCCTAAAAAATTATTTTATTAAAATAGGAAAGTAAAAATAAATTTTATTATTATCCTTTTTATTAAAAATAATTAGTTTTGTCTAAAGAAACAACAAAATTTTACTTGAATATTAACTTTGTAATCTTGGTCTTGAAAATTGAGTTGTTAAAAATGTGGTTAGTTTTGTTTTGCTTTGTATCCTTTGGTGTGATATTAATTTCAAAATTTTTTCTTTATTTATAATAACAATTATTATCCTTTCAATTAAATTAACAAAAATAATAAATTAAAAATTTATTTCTAAAAAAAAAATATTTATATAATTTTATAAGTATATTTCTATTCAAAATAATTAAAAAAAAAAGCGCAAAAATCACATACAAAAAGAAAAAAAAAATTTTATTATTATTAAGAAAATTTCAAACATTTACACATTTTAAAGAAAAAAATATTTATATATGTATATTTATTTATAAAATATTTAATTATATATATATACATAATTAAATATTTTATAATCAATGATAGTTGGGATTTTTAAAAATTATTTTAAACTTGGTTTATATAGCGCCAACTAATTTTGTCTTTACATTTTCTTAAACCCAGCTATGAGCTAAATACCAAAATGCAGACCAATAGTATTGCTTCAATAAGTCAAGTTGACGTTATACATTCATATTTGATTTGATTTTTGTCTTTAAAGAAATTGCCTTCTTAATATTTGGTAGTCCGTTAGTGTTTTGACTTTTGGCGCAACAGAAACATTGCAAATTGTATTGATTATTTGATTAAAGTGATTGGCGTGATAGGACCCTGATAAGAATATTTTGAACTCGCAAACCTATTGTATACAATTGTGTTTAATTGATAACATATCGTTTTTTAAATACGATTTTAAAATAAAAAATAATTATTTTTTTTTCAAATTTGATATTTTCTTATTATTATAATTCTTAAATAAATTCGAAATAGTTGTAAATATTTTAAGTTGCCTGCAACAGGCAAATCTTGTTTTCAATGTGAGACTAAAAAGCAAATTGACCTAAGCTGTAATTTGTGGGTTAATCACTTTCCTTCTCAAAGAAATTAAATTTTTCGTTAAACAAAAACAAGTTAAGTAGCTAGAAACGAAAATTTGGTTAAATTCACGGCGGTTTTTGATTTATTTCTTATACAAATTTTGTATAGATTTTCAACAATTTTGTTTTGAAATTGATAGAGTTAGACTAATTTGATTTTAAGCCCTTCAATTTATCTTTGAAATTGATGAAAATTTACATGGGAGTTAGGAGTATTTAAAATGGGCTAACTAGAATTTAGAAGATTTTATAATTTAAATTATGATACATAAATTTTCAGATTAAAGAAACTATTTTTATAAATTTTCATGTACGATTTTTCGGAATTGAATTTTAAATTGATTAAAAAAATAATTATATTTTGTGTAAATGAAAAAAATTTTCTTAAAAATAAATGTTATTTTCAATATAGATTATAAATATAAATTAAATATTCATTTATTTTTACAATATTTTTTTAAATTTTTTAAAGTTTTCTTTTTGAATCATTTTGTTTTTTTTGTTTTGATAAAATTGATATACACATATGTTGTATGTATAAAGATAAACATATATAATTTACATATACATATATTATATAGATAACTTAAAATTTAAATTTACATTTTAAAAATTTTATAATGTTTGCATAAATTTGTTTAAATATACATAAGTATATTATTATATTTTATTTACATACAATTAATGTGAAATATATAAATTATATTTATACTCTTAATTCTTGATTTTACAGATATTTTTTTTTTCTTTATAAATTATTCACATTTAAGTCATCAGTATCTAAAATTTCAAAATCACTTTCATCTTCTGATGTTCTATTACCACCATCATCATTTAATGGTATATTATCAAATTTTGCACTATTCAAATGTTGCTTTTTTGATAATTTATCATCATTTAAATTTTGTTGACTATTTGTTGCTGTAGTTGCTGTTGAACTATTTAAACCAGTATTAATAGTATCAATAACACTACTACCACTACCGCCACCACCACTACCACCACCACCACCCATACTCCAGGCAACTAAACCTGATACTAAATTTGTAACAACAGTATTTGCTTGTTCTCTTGTTGATGATGGTTGACTTTGAGATTTTTGTAATGATTGAATTCTTGGTGTATCAATTAAATCAAAATTTAATCCTTTTGATAAACTTTCTTCATCTGATGATGATGTTGATATTGATGAATCCTTTTTAAAATAACCTTTTTTAAAATGCATTTGTTGTTGTTGATCATTTTTTGATTTAAGTTTTTCAAGTTCATCTTTTGAATCTTTTAATAATAAATCATCATCAGATGAATCAGAATTTTCATTTATTTCTGGTATTGTTCCTGGTATCATTAGATCTGGTGGTATTTCATCAGATTTATCTTCTTCATTACCAGTTGGTGTTATAATTGCTTCATCACCGGCTTTATCTAATACAAAACGATTTGTATCATTAACTTCTGGTAAAAATTCATCAACTAAATCATTATCATATTTTTCTACCCATGTAAAATCAACTAAAAAAAAAGGAATAAAAGAAAAAGAAAATATGAAAAATCAATTTCTACTTCAAATTAAAAAAATAAAAAATTTACCTTGCAATGGTACTTTTACAATTCTAAAATTATATCTAGTTGATATTAAACCGGCTAATATTAAACCAATCAATACAACACTAGCACCAGATATTAAATGTCCAATAATGGCAAGTGTTGCTAATATGAATGTTACTAAACCACAAAATATTGCTGGTCTTTCTTTTCGAATATTTGCTAATCTTGTTTTTAACATATCTATTTTATTTTTTAATTCTGGCGGTGGGACTAATTTAAAACTTGTCTGATTATTTACCATTATATTTGTAAAAATGAATGTTGCTAATATTATGGTAAAAAATATGCCAAGTGGTCGAATTTGTAACCTATAAATAAATAAATAATAAAAAAAATAATTAATTATTATTAATTGTATTGAAAATAGAAGTTCATTTATTTTACTATTCTAATTTAAATTAGATAAACTGAATTTCATAAATGACGTACATATGTCATTTAACCCTAACCTGATTTAGATATTTTGAAACAGTTGTCTGATCCTCTCACTTAATTTCACTTAAGTATTATAAAAAAATAAGTATATTTTATTTTGTTAATGATTTCTTTAAAGACAAAATCAAATATGGATGTATAACGTCAACTTGACTTATTAAGCTATACTATTATAATTCCTGCATATGTCAATTTGAAGTTAGGTCTGCATTTTGGTAGTTAGCTAATAGTTTGGGGACTTTTCAGATTATACCCAAATTTTAAACAAAAAAATTTTGTTTTATTTTTAAAAATTTCCTGCATTCTACAATAAAATTATTGTGTAAGACCGTCTTGTTGTTCCATATTGTAACGTCTTGTTGTTCCATATTGTAAAAATTGTTGAAATCAACAATGAATTTTTATTAAAAGTTTTGTTTATACCTTAGTTTTCAGAAAAATTGTGGGTAAATATCATAGTGTTGAAAAATCGAACTAATATTTAAAAAATGTTAAAAATTTTGAATAAAGCGTGTCTGTCTTTCAATTACAGATATTAAATTTTTTTTTTTCTTACGCCATTTTCTATAGGGATTCCTGTACTGTTTATGTAAATGACAATAAAATAATATTTTTGTAAAATGGAAATCTTATCAATACTCTTGCTTGTACAAAACGAAAACATCCAAAGTTCTTCTTATCAATTTTAAAATTAAAATTTTTATTTTTTTTTGCCATATTTGATTTGTTTTCAATTTGAAATATAAAAAGCTCAGTTTATGAAAGTTAGTATTTTTTTTTTGTGGCACCGTAAGTTATAAAGTTTCATATATAAGTATATGTAAATGTAGAAACTTTTAGGAAGACCTCATAACTTAAAAGGTGATTAAAATTAAAAAGGAAGTTAAAAGAAGAAACGAAAAAACATGACGAAAATAGAATTTAAGAAGATTTTTTTTCTTTTCGAAATTCTATAAAAAAATTGTTTGCTTAAAAGTTTTTAGTAAAATATTTTAAAATTTACATTAATCTTCCGGGATATCATAATCGAATTTACAAAAATATTTGTTGTGCCATGACAAATTTAAAGTTCTTTTCTAATAACAATCATACTAAACATAATATTGATTGAGAATTTAAGATTATTTTTGCATTCATTTCAATTAGAATAATTCACAATTTTCATCTTTTAATAGTGTTTTGACATTAAAATTGCAGTAATGTTATATTGCTGTACAATTTGAGTTTAACTTTATAATACGGGCTGTCAAAATATTCGGTTTGTGAGGTAAATATTAGCAAAGCACTAAAGAGTAAGCAAAAATGAATAGATTTGCAAGTGTTACAGTACAAAATTCATTATTTGAAAATTTTACTGGCAACAAAAATATAAAACTTTAATACAAGAAACACGTCAAATTTTTTTTATCACCTTTCAAATTAGTGTCTTCATTTATTCAGAAATATATTCGCTTGCCAACCAGAGTTTTGATTAGAAAAAATATATTTGTGTTGGAAATACTTAATGTGTCAACTAATTTTGGCACTGGCATTCCATTACTCGCTTATGTCATCTTTTTATAATAATATTGTAAGAATTGTAAGAATAAGAAATATAATTTTTGAATTTTTGTGAGAAATATAGTAAATATTACAGCAATTTTGATGTCATCATAATATATTTGATTTTGTTCAAGATTTACGCACGCATACAAAAATTTGTATTCAACAAACAAAACATAAATTATATTATATACATGAATGCGTGCGTATATTGATTACATTATTTCGTTTATGTTCCAAATACTCGTATAACACATTTAATTTTATATTGTTGTTGTTTTTTATAATATATTCTTTATTTATATTTAAAAATTAAATTAAAATAAATTATTTTTATATCAAAAGTTATATAGCATATACATACATAAAAAATGCTATGAATGTATTGCAATAAAAAAAAGGCTTGTCTTTCTTACAATAAATACCATCAAAATCTTATCAATTTTGTTTATGTAAATTTTATGGGCCTGTATGATGGCAAAATGAGAAAAAAAAATTTTATTAAATTATTTTGTACATGCTTATTTTCTTTTCTTATACGATACGCATAAAAGCAATTTTTTTTCTTAGTTTTTAAAACGAGTCATAAAACAAGTAATCCAATCACGTTGTTTACACTAATATTCATGAGGAGCATTACACTCTGCGTCTCAACAGTCGACATGCGAACATGTCAACAGTGAACGGTAATTTTTTATTAATATGATTTTTAAATGACATAACGTGTAATAAAGAAAATTATTAATTATTAATTAAAAATTATTGACAATTAATTTTTACAACAGCAATTCTACTATAAATAAAAATATAATATTAATTATGATTATGTTTGTTGACGGACCCATATTATTAATACGAATAGGTTTACTAATATTTGAAAATTAAGTAAGTATACTGTTTTGCAGAAAAAAATAAATTCAAGAAGATTTTTGATAACTCAGTCCTTTCTTAGGTCTTGACATAAAGCAAGTTCAATAAATCTAAAACTGCAAAATCTGAATAGTAGAATAGTATGTTCGAAAATTACTGTTGTGTTTTTTAAATTTTCAAATGAATTTTTAAGTTTTTTAATAACCATACTGCAAAATTATAGGAGGATAAGAATTGTTCGATATTGAAGAATTACTCGAGTATGTATATTACAAATTCGTAAAAGTAAAATATGTAAGTATTCCGTTTTTGCAGACTGTCATAAGTATTTGTGAAAAGACTTTGAAGATTTAATTTATAATTTTTAGTGCATATCTGTGTTATCCAAAATCTCTCAACTTTTAGTACATGACTCGACCTTATTAACCTTCTGAGCATCAGACTGCCCCCTGGGCTCCTCAGCACCTTGAATTCACTATTATCATTTCTTTATTTTACTCATATTTCGTATAACTCTTCAAATATTAACCAAGCAAAGAGACTTGCAACAAAATGCATTAAATAGAGTTTTGGGAGTTAGAATTTTTTATTAACAAAATTTCTCAATTTCTTATAATTTTTTTATATATACATACATACATACATAGATACACATGTTTTTATAATTTTCTTATCTCAAAAAAAAAAATATACCGTTCCAAAATTTTTTTTTTAAATATAAAATTTATTGCAAGTTGGGAACTCTCACCCCTTTTTATTCTTATTTATTGACTTGTCCTTTTTATGTGAAATTAATTAATTACAAATAAATGCTCATTTTAATTGTATATATAATTATATATATATATATAATTATAAATATACATAAATAAATATATATAAATAAGTAAACACATAATATCATATATGTACGTATGTGCTTAGTAAATAATACTTTTTTTTGGCTAAAAAATCTATATTTGTCGCCAAGAAATTACAATAAAAAAAAATGTAGCTAAAACTGCTAAATGCTTTTAACTATTTTGCTATTTTAGTTTTTTATTGTACATACACAATTAATTTATGCAAATTTAAACATCACATATGCTTGCTTACTTGCTAGTAAGGCACATAAGTAATAAATGCTTTGAAGTTAAAAATAATTTTTGAGATTTTTTCATTCTATTTTTGTATACCCATCCATACAATTCCATCGTTCGCATCATCGTTGAAACATAATTGTATTACATATACACAGCTTCCATAAAATCTAATTATGAGCAACTTACATCATGGCGGTATTAATACATACAGCTATGTAAGTATAATATATATGAATTTAAAAATAGAGTGAATTCTGTGAACTAAGTATAAAGAAATAAAAATTTTTTCTTTTTTTTTACAATTACTTTGAAAATTACTTGTTAATTTAGTTTATGTTTTTAAAAGAGCAAGTGTGGGTGGGTAGAAATTAGAAAATAAAAATGATTTTTTTTTTCTTGCATATTTCTTGAAATGTAAATTAACATTGCTATGTACAAGAGCCTTGTATGTACATGTGGTACGTAAGGTATTAAAATTTACTAAAAGTTAAACTCGACTATATCATCAAAGATGGCCCTCTAGATTTATGTATGTAGTATGTAAAAAAATATTGTCTATATTACGAATTTATAAAATAAATGTCAAAAATTTGATTAGATCTCAAATTTTAGTAACAATTGCAGTCAATTGGAATAAGCTTAAGTTTTATTGAAATAAGCTTGTTGAAAATTGATGCTAGAATCGATATGTTAGAAGTATCTGAAAATTCTCGAATCAAAGCATTTGAAAAAAATTGGGTTATAAAACAGTTTTCCATGGAAATTCACATCCTACCATTTATGTTGTCTTTTTAATTTACGGATCGACTTAAAAAATCTCTCTTACTCTTGTGGTTTCTATTATGTATGTATTTATGAAATTTATGATAGCCATACTTTATCAATATCGGAAATTCGATAATTACGTATTATACCTTTGTTTGCCAAAAAACGGTGAAAAATTTATTTTCCATTTGTTTAAAAGAGAAAATTATATGGTTGCCAATAAAATAATTTCGAATTTTTCATTTTTATGTAGAAATAAAAAAAAAAAATCCAAATATTCATAAATTTCCCTCATATATTATGCTTATAAAAAAACTCATAAATTTCCTGTTATTATTCACAACATGTAAGCTTAAAACAATATTTGAATAATTTTATAAAAGGATATTTTTAACCAAGAAGTAAAAATGTTATATGTACAAAATACCCCATGATTATACTTAATTTGTAGGCGATCATATTATGTATAACAAGGTTTATTATAGAGTTCCGAATTTTTTGCCGTGGTCACGGAATAGATTTGCTTTCAAAAACTATACTAAAATCGTAGGTAATTCAAATTTTATTTATTAAGCTTTAAAATGCTTACAAACTTTAATATTAAGCCAACCAAT